GGTCTATCTACCTCCCATCCTCATAACTTAGTACCTTAAGTTTTATCTTAATTTCTTTCCTATGATCATCATATTTTCCCAAATGACTGTTCTCCAAGAGGTTCCTTCATTAAAATTTTCTACATATTCCTTTCCTCTCCCGTCGTAACATGCCTTGTGCAACGTAGCACCCTAAATTTGACTAAGTCAGGCTGAACAAGAAATCGAGAACGGTTTCCCAGTGGACGCGAACCAATTTTGGATGGACCATAAATTCGCGGGAGAAGAGCAAAATTTCCCACATCAGTTACGAGGTTTAGGCTCTTTGATCTGTTCCGGTCTTTGGGTTAGACGAAGGGATCCTTCTATTGCTTTGGTGACCGCCCCTTCTCGTTTCCTAGGCATTCAATTAATTGGCATTCATAAAATATGTTGACTTTTTTACCTTTTCTCACAGCTTAAGTATATTTAGTTCTTCTCTGATATCAGTGATGGAAAATAATACATGGAGGATAAGATACAATGAAGAGATAAACACATTACTGAAAGGAGAAGATATAGTAAGATTTATCAAATCACAGAGAATAACATGGTTTGGACATGTCGAAAGAATGGAAGATAATGCAATGCCAAAAAGAATATTAAAAGTAAGGTTATGTTACAAAAGCAGAGAAGGAATACCCAGGATGGGATGGCCAGACGAAGTTGAGAACGACCTGAAGAAGATGAAGGAGAAAGGATGGACAGAGAAGATGAGGAATAGAGAGCAGTGGAGACTGGTTGTAGAGGAGGCCAAGGCTCACCCAGGGCTGTAGCGCCGAGTGGTAGGGTAAGTACCTAGGTAGGTACTCTTGCCTAATATGTACACTCCTTTCTTGTCTTTTCTTCTTTAGCTTGCCACTGATCTCAGGAATTTAATATACGATATTTCGATCTGTTGGAACAATATTTGTATTACTTATTATTTATGAGAGCTTTTGATTTTCCTTTCTATAACCTGATGAGCGACGAAAAGTATCAACTCTAAGAAAGCTGTCCTTCTACTTAACATCCTTCTGAAGTTCTTACCAATATAAATTTCCCTTCTCGACGACGAATATCATCAGAGCCACCTGTGGAGACGGGGTCGAATATCTCCACATGACCCTGCGAGTCGTAGGAGGCGACGAAAAGGGAAATCTCAGATCTGAGACAGTAAAATATGGCCTCGAGTCCCAAGGGACTAAGACCCGAGAAAGACTGAACTGGCGATGGCCAGCAGCATATACAAAAGGCAGACCCGTCCTCTCGTCAGAGAGGGCGCCCCACAAAAACAAGACCGTAAATGTCAAACAGTAATAAATATCTGGACATGAGCCCCAGATGGGGCTCGACACCAAGACTTACTGACTGACTGACCGTCAGTCGCAATGTGACTTGGACTTGGAATATCATCAGGACAATACATCGCCTCTGTTCATGTCTCGCGGACGACCTTATGAACTCGTGTTTAAGTTAAGTAGTTAGCAACTGCACACCGAAATTCACAAAACTAAGAGAGTCTGTACAATGTAAGTCTTCGTAATATAACTAAAAAACTTAGTTTTTATGTATTTCCTGTCATTCTATGCTAGTAGAGAATCCTTTTCCGAAAATATGTTTGTGTTCTTAGAAGTTCTTGCTAGTACAATTTTTATTATATCCTGTGTATAAGCTGGTGCAAATTCTGTAAAATCAACTAGCATTTGAGCTTCACACTGCACTTAACCTACCAAACCTACGCATTTATACATACGTTCTTGTTATCTAGCCAGACAGCTTCTATGACATAAATAGGTGATTGCGGAGTTCTGGTTATCTCGGAATTACAACTTGCATCGCATAGGTCTTGCAATCATAATCTAAAAAGATAATAAGCGTAAAGGTAAAGCTATCCCTGTAAGAGGCTGTGAAGGCGCATAGGTTTGGGAAACGTCGAGGCTCACAGATGATGGTGAGGTTGTCAGCCTTACGCGCCGGCCGTCCTTTACCCCCAAGGAAGAATTCTGGTACCCATTTGTCTTAAAGGCTGGGTGGACCCCAGTGCCGTTATACACGAAATAATATTGATACAACAATTATGGAATTAGTTGATGGTGAGCAATTAATATAGGAACTGAATAATCTGTACCATCGGAAAATTTATTTACCACATGGATTGACTGTTGAGTGTCGCGAGATTTGTTTGAGGTCTAACGAGACCAAATCTAACTTAAAATAATTTGTATATCCATGATTTATTTAAACCGTCTTGTAGTGCATACACTCATTTATCTCCTTCTCTCCCTCGCACTACATGTTTCGGCATAATAATGCCATCTTCAGGTGCTTACTTATCCACGCCAAACTAGTTCATTGCATGCCTTGTTCTCATATTAAAATAACTAAAATATGTATCTATCATATACATTGTCAAACGTCTGTATAATTTTCGAGTTGTCATTCAATTTTGTCGCAGTGATAATATTTGACTTTGTTCTATGTATTTACTCCAGCTTTGGCTATTTGCACCGTGTACACTGCAGTTGTATTGCCACGACTTTTACTTTCATTTTGAGTAGGAGACATTTTTAGCTTACTTTCCTGAACTAGGCTTATGCGATCTCCATACTGTCTGTCTGCATGTGACTCCACCTCACCATCAACTTCGGAATGCCTAAACCAATCTTTATGAAACCTGGTGCACATATCATGGCATCTAAGAGCAGCTCAACGGTGTACTTCATAAATCCCTCCCATCAGTCACTATGGCTATATGTGTATCCCCTATTGTTGCTAGGCAATGGCTCGGCAAAAATCCCCAAACTGTTGCTTGGCAACGGCTCGGTTAAAACGTTATAGCGGTAACAAATACACACGTAAGAAGAGAAGAATTGTTGGATGAATCGTTTTATATGCGGTCCATGTCATTTCAAGGAAAGCAGGCGATTAGTTCTTCCCAGAACTTCTTGTATCCTATACTCCATGGCCGCGCCATAGTTCAAGCGGTTAGTCGCTGGCTTCCCATCGCGGCGGCCCGGGTTCTATCCCGGGTCTGGTCAAGTGGGATTTGTGGTGGACAAAGTGACGCGGGGGCAGGTTTTCTCCGAGTACTTCGGTTTCCCCTGCCAATCTCCATTCCACCAATTGCTCCACAATCACCCTCACCTATCACCTGGGGCTGGTACAATAGGCCAGAAGTGGCCTCAGTACAAGGGACTTAGTCCCACCCCACTAGCAATAAAAAAAAATCCTATACTCCATTGTTAGCAGTGAACATAAATTATTTGTTAATATGTGTTAAGGCAGCTTACACATGCACATCCATTTTTGTGTTCTCTAGCCACCGCTACTTCAACACGAGCGGCTATGTCCTTTTTATTTTATCACTTCACTAAGGAAAAATGTCAAGCTTCGTCGGAAAAAGTTATGCGTACCTGAACCCTCAGTAGCTTTGCCCTAGGCACAAATAATTATAGATTACATCACAATACTAGGCCTGCAAACAATAGCAGGACTCCTGCTTAAAAACCGCAATGTGGAGTCTCTTCAAAGGAAAACTTTCTGCGGAGGATTGAGATAAAATCTCTAATTGACTTAAACTCACAAACTCACTTATGGAATTAAATGTTATTCTGAATAGTTCGGTTGAATTATTTCTCGTTTTGTATCTTATCAATGACGTTAGAAAATACTGGAAGAAATGTTGCTGTATTAATTGATTAGGGCAGAAAATTGACTGTATATGTAGGTACAGGTACGTTGCCGTTTAAATTTGGAACCTTACTCCTGGAAGTATTCCGACGAAATGAGCCGCAGGAAGCTGCTAGTGTCTGGAGTTGTACTTCGTTTCTTAGCTCAGTGCCAAAGTTTGTGTCGTACGCACTTATGAATGGGCAGCCAAGAGCCGAAGACAGCACGAACAGTACCGAATTACATTTCGCGACTACGTGATACCGCTTAACTGATGCGTTCAAGTTGTCGATTAATAATAAATTGTTGTACAAAAGTACGGGTTAGCTGAGTTAGATCCGATCATAAAGTGGCTGGCTACAAGTTTGGGGTGCGGAGTTCGACCCTGGAGAGGCCACCACATCCAGTATATCCACGTCTTAGACCCGCCTCCTCTCCTTCCCTTGGGGCAAAGGATCCGGAGCGTGAAGCTAATCACTCACCACCAACGAGCATCAAGTTTGAGGTTGTATGGCCTAGCTCTGGTCCCTCTACACCCTACGTCTTCATGGGCGATCAGTCGTGTAAGCTACTGCTGGCCTTCGCCAGCATCATCATTCTTCGTTTCGGGCACCCGTGGGACACATAACCATTTTTTTTTCTGTCTCATGACTCTGACTAAGTTGTGTGATGTTTCGTATGCCTTAACGGTGCAATGCTTAAGCAACTTTTATATAAAAATATAAATTATAAATATGAATGAAAATATTCGTACATATAACGACCAGAAATGCTTTTAACATTTCGTTAGAAGTTATAGAAAAGAAGGACTAAGAGAATGATTGCACCACCAGGCTTACACAAATCCGCAGGCTTGTGAGAAGCTGACTGTGGTCTGATAATAAGATTTTGGCTCTTTGCCAACGTGCACTTAATTGTAGCTTCATTCATTACGCCTTCAACGAATCACTTTTCTAAATAACACCCCAAATTTAAGTTCGTACCTCACAGGAAACGTACTACATCTCAAGTACAATAATCGCCATGTTACTCTGTAGGCAGAATGAAGAGTTTCCGTATGTTAAAGAAGGTGGTACGTACATAGAATTACAGATGGGCTTTAAAGAGTTCAACTGAAATGCCTGGGAAGGAGAGCTTCTATATAGTGGAGGCGTACATTGTCGATTAAGAAAAATAGCACGCGGCTTGATACGCCTACAGTAAACATTGCCACGCGCGAGATGTTTCAAAAGTCGCATCTGTTTTTCACGCTCCGGAAACAACACGCGGATTAGTCAACACGTAACACAAATAAATGTATGATTACTTTGCGTGCACTGTACGAGAGTACCTTCAGCAGAATGGTTGTAGTTATGCTGTACATTAGATTGATTGTCATCGTAGGTGGGTAACCGTTCTGGAAAATCCACAAGGAGGCAGATTTTGACGCTGCTAGACGACAGAAAATGGTTGTATATGATCAACAGAAAGTTTTTTAAAGTGTTTTATAAATAATCGTGTGTCACAAAACTGTGCAATAAGATCCTTATTCAAAACCATGATGTAGTGCCGTGTTTTTATTTCTGAATTTTCATACAAAATTTCACTAAGAAATTATACGTGATATGTTTATATCTTACCGTGAGAGGAGACTGAATTTCACAGTCCAGAGTCTCTGCGCTAAATTATTATTATTTCTATTCTGTTACCTCTGGGTTTATAAGCGCTTCAATAGCTACAGGTTATATAAGCCTGTACATATCAAATTATGTGGTCACGTGAGTGCATAAAATTCAATATAAGACATCTGTACTAACTGAAGTTTTTCCTATTAAGGACGAATAAAATAGTAACTAAGCGACAGAATTATTGATTAAAGTCAAATTAAATCCAATAGTGATTCGGAGATAAAATATTTTGTTTTGGAAATATGAAAGGATGACAAAATTTTACAAGGTCATACGGGACCCAAAATCATTGACTTAGAAGGTAATTAAATATGTTCCTATTTCACAAACTATTGTTTCATAGATGGGGCACGCGGTAGCGTAGTTGGTTGAGGCACTATGCTACAAGACAGAAGGTCGCGGGATCGAATCGCAATGAGGAGGATTTTTTCAATTTACCTAATCCTTCCAGCCGCACCATAGGCCCTGGGGCTGGTTCAGCCTCTAACAGAAATGAGTACCAGTAATATTCCTGGGGGTACAGGGCGACCGGGGAGTAAGGCTGACAACCTCACAGTTCACTGCCATCTGTGAGCCGAGTGTCTAGAAAATGTGGGAGCCTCAACATCTCACAACCCTATGGGCCTCCACGGCATGTTACAGGGATACTTTTACTTTTACTTTGCTTCATATGTATCAAATTAGGGTGAGTACATAAAACAACGTGCTGAACACATTCTCAAAGGCTTGAAGAGCTCTAACGCCTGAGACATAACGGCAGATATTCCGTTGAAAGTCGAGCGACGTTTCGGAGGAATATATCGCATCCACTTTCAGGTCAAAGAATAAGCCAAGTAAGAAACCTGCGCGAGGCACGAAGCAAGCACCTTTGCTTGCTTCACTTCCAATGGACTACATGGTGTTATATACCGGAAGATAAACCCTTCATAACCACCTCTGAGAGAAGGTCAAAGCATACATTTTAACATACTTTATTGGCAAGTAAGGAACGATTAATCGATTTTGATTTTATTCGGATTTCACTAATGTTTTATTTTCATTCGAACAATTTTGGAACATTTTCTTGTTTACGAGGAGAAGCTGAAGTAGAACATATCTTGTAATATTATTCATTCTCAGAAATGATGATGGGCGGCTCCCACATATTTTTGGATGTTTCTGGATGTTCAAGTTTTAATTGCACATGATGACCCATCATGTGTTTACTTGCTGAGTTGGCAGAGCGGATGCCAGCGTTTCTACTCCCATTGACGTAACTACCGGTGCCAGGGGCTGAACAGGAACTCTCTTATGATTCTAGCAAACGTCCACCACGAAGACTGCTGGTTCCTCTTCCGTACCTGCTGTTTTTGGCGTCGTTTAATTTTAACGTAAAAAAAAAATTAGAAGCGTCGAATCTGCTACCACAGGGCGACGCATCAAGGAAACAAACCAGATTCAAAATAGCCAGTGAGCAGGACACATTGTCGTGCCTGTGCTACCGGTTAGTGCTGTGACTTGCTTAAACCATTCACTTCTGTGATCAATGAAATGTGAGTAATATTAATATTACTAAAGCTAAATGTATATTTTTATTTTATTGCTAGATTTTTATATGAAGTGAATTTATTTTTCTCATTTAGCATCACATGACACGAACTTTGTTTCATATGCTTTTAAAATGTCTTATCATCTTCCCCTTCTGTCGGTTCCACCGTTTCGACGCACGCTTATCGTTTTGGGACGCAGTGAATGGGCAAACAATATTTCGGCGCTTTCATTAGCATCGTGAAGAAAGAGTCTTTCTTGGCGCTCTTTCTTTTTGCATGACTGATCGTAGGGCTTTGCTTCCGTGTTTTTGGGGCAGTTCTCTAAGGCTGTAAGATGCAATGAGACGGTGCTGGTTATCAGTATGTTGTTCCATTACTGTCGAAGTAAATTTCCTTCAAAGCGGTGTTCGAAGCGGAGTAATGGATTTAGATTAGCCTCGGCATCTATCGCGCATGAGACCAACGCACTACCCAACAGTAATGTAGATTTTGCCAAATTGTTAGGGTCTCAATTTACTTGAAAGAGTTCCAGAAGAAACTGTATATTAGTAAGGTAAATATTTTATTTCTAGTAAATCAATTAGCAAAAAAGAAAAAATTAGAGCTGATAATTGCTCAGCAGGTCAAGAGATCTCCTTTCGTGGAAGCGGGAAGTCCATTACCCTGCCCATAGAAGGCCGCCACGACTCTCTATCCTGCATCAACAGAATTCATCCCAGATCCTCAACACAATTTGTTTAAGTTCCATTGTAATACTATTCTCTCACCTATGCCTAGATCTAAAAAATGGTCAATTCCTTTCAGGCTTTCCGGCGAAAATGCGCACACATTTCTCATTTCCCTGTATGTGATATATGCCCAGTCCATATCACCTTCGTTGGTTTTGACTTGTATAATATCTGGTGAATACAGAAATTATGACGCTCCTCTTTATATATTTTTACCTATCACAGCGTTCTTTCAACTTTTTTAAGTCAAAATATTCTACTTAGTTCTCAAATATCTTCCATTTATGTTCCACCCTCAGTGTAAAAGATAAAGTGTAACTCTCATATAAAATTATAGCTTTCTATTACATTTCAATCTTTTCACGCTTCCAGGCAGAAGTAAACTGTTGCCTTGGGTAAACAGAATTACTCTTCTGATTGCCGAGGTTATCTGTAATTGTTGAGTCTGAAAACCTCACGTGAGGATATCTATATTTACAGATCTGGTCACAGTTCAAGTAGCGCACAGCACAAATAACACAACAGTGACGCTATAGCCCACAAATAAGCATAACATTAAAAAGAGGTCAATGCATAAATGGTGAATCCGTCCATACTTCGAATTATACGGTTAGCCAAAGGGGTTTCTTTATGTACGTGGTGCTTGCAGGAGTCGGAGTTAGTCTGAATGCAAGAAGTTGTTCACTTATCATTGGAGATCATTTTAGGGATATGATTCATTGTAATAATAATAATAATAATAATAATAATAATAATAATAATAATAATAAGATGATGAAGAAATGTCTTCAGTGACATAGGCCATTGATATATTAAAGTCAAGGGGGAATAGCAGAGGCAGAAACATAAATAGAAATATTCCCAGCAAGACGCGATGGTGACAGTGCCTGAGCTGTCCAGCGATACGAATTAGTTAAGTACAGGAGAATGCGGGAGGAACCTCTCACAGAGAACCAAACTCAGTTAACTGTCAATAATAATTTAAGGTTATTATAAAGGCCGCGCCATAGCTCAAGCGGTTAGTCGCTGGTTTCCCACCGCGGCGGCCCAGGTTCGATCCCGGGTCTGGTCAAGTGGGATTTGTGGTGGACAAAGTGGCGCTTGGGCAGGTTTTCTCCGAGTACTTCGGATTCCCCTGCCAAACTTCATTCCACAAATTGCTCCACAATCATCTTGGGCTGGGACAACAGGCCAGAAGTGACCGCAGTACAAGGGACTTAGTCCCACCCCACTAGCAATAAAAGAAAGGTTATTATAATCCGTATAAACGGAATTGTCCCTTGTTTCAGTACCTTTACCGTTATCCCGGAATGATCTGTTGAGACAAGTCCTGTATTTGAATGGTTATATAACATGGACTTGATAACATTTAAGTCAAATAGGGTAAACGAAATATGCTGTATACTGGTTTTGTGACGGGGGCGTACGTAAGGAGACAGATAACAAGATGGGAGCACATGAACTGAATTTCTTTGGCTCATAAGTATGTACAACAATGCGCTTCATTGTCGATTCTTTTATCACAGTTGCTTTATCCCCCCACCCTAGTGAATTATTTACCTTTAAATCGAAATTCTGGCAGTCCCATTCAAGACGCTCATTAGTACCAAGTTGTTTGTCGGGATTGGAACTAACGCTGTTTAGAACAGAGAATTCCGGATAGGAAATTAGCAATGTAGTACCCCCCTTTTAAAATTTAATAAATCTCTTCAGTAAAACGAAGCAAATTCACTGTCGAAGACACTGAACGTTAGGACTTCAGAATACTGATAGCGTTCAACATGAACCTGCATGGAATTACAGATTAAATAACATTGTACAATCATGCAGGACATCACAAGACGCTTAGCAGAATCTATGTAATGCCAGTCGCATTGCAGCCACCACTGTACACCACATCCACGTAGGTGAGGTAAACTTGTCCCTGTGATTAGGCAGCGTACTGTGGAGGCGTATGGGTTTATGGAGATAAGACTCCGTACACTATAGACCTCTCCAGTTGATGGAGTTAGTTTCATTCCAGGTCTCTTCATCCCTGGCAAACAGACCTTGACAGTCCAGACGTGATATGCTGCCTGGAATTCAGAGCTTTCGGGGAAAGTCAAGTCACTGAATAATCTGTCACGGTTCAGATATATTTTTTTTTCCTTGGCACTACAGCCCCAGTGGGCCTAGGCCTACGTCCATGAACTTCAGTTCACTTCGGTTTTTCTAGATCTTACACAGACGGTAGGACTTCTTGAGCGAGTGATCAGCTCGCCGCAAGGCCTCCACCTGTAGACAAACACAGAAAAACGCGCACAAACATCCATGCCTTCAGTTGGATTCGAACCCACGGTCCCGGCTTCCGAGCGAGCGAAGACAGTGCATGCCTTAGACCGCTCGGCTACCGTGATCAACTAAAATTGTTACAACAGAGCACGAGATTTCAGGTCTGCTGATATAAAAGTTCTCCACTGGATACGATCAGGAGTCAGTTACATCCATTATCCATTTTTTCAACCTGTCCTACAAGGATCTATAATAAAGTTATCGCTCTATATTCTTCCCTGTATTTTAATTGGAACTTGCTAAGAATTTTCGCCACTAAATCCCAGTGTCAGTTCCTCGTCTTTCCAATCTTAAACACAGCCTTCAACAGAGATACTGGGTTTTCGGACTTTGTCCATCGTCCGGATCCTAAATAATTAAGGAAAAACACAACGTTTCGGAAACTGGATCTGTTTCCGTCCTCAGGTGAGGGAAGGGACCTACTCTATTGGGTCCCTTAGAAAGAGCTAGCCTCAAACACTGGACCAGTGATTGAGGCTGTCTTCCCTCACCTGAGGACGGAAAGAGATCCAGTTTCCGAAACGTTGTGCTTTTTCTTAGTTATTTAGAATCCGGACGATGGACAAAGACCGAAAACCGAGTATCTCTGTGCGTTGTACACCATCGTCAGAACCCTATAGTAACAGCCTTCAACATTTCGATTTCCTAACGATCCTACATTACCTGTACGACAATTAAGTTCTCGTCACGTTCTAATTCGCCTAATTAATTTTTTCCTCACAACTTACCAACTCTTTTGTTCGTTGCTGCGACCAATGACAGGCGTAGAGAGGAGGTACAGGCCGTGTAGCACCAGACGGAGGTACGTATGTGGCCATTGTTTAGCTTGGAATGAGTCCTATTTCGCAGAACATAAGTAAGTGCGTATATATTTATGTTGAAGGAGAACTGATTTTTGCAGCAAGATAAGCTTAGAAATTGTTATGCTCCAGGTGTGATATCTTGGAATTATAACCTTTGAAGCATTTCTCGGCAATTTTATATTTAACCACCAACATTGGCCTTGACTCGAAAGGAAACCAAATATTACAACAAATTATCATTAAGAAGATTGGAAAAATATTCTGGCTTATATTATATATTTAGTTTTTTTATCCTGCTGGAACTTGCAGGGCCGGAGTGAAGAAATCCGAGACGTGCATAGTAATCAAACTTATATAAACCAAAAATACATTTTTTTCTCGGACAAGATTATCTCGGTTAACAATTTATAGTGGCCACATTCACGAAAAGAAAAAACCTGCCTTAGCCATATTTGAGTTTAAATAGGAATTTGATGTTTGTTTTCCAATCTATCCAAGAAATTTCCACCTCTCATATATAGAAGACAGATAATATATACAGAGGACAAAAAAATGTAATATGTAGGTAAAGTGGATAAAGTTATTTATGTTTCTTCGATTTTCACCTGCTAATCATCACTCCACCATTTCTCTATGCTTATCTATCACCGTGCTATGAGGTGTGCGATAATCCTGACGGGGGCAGCACATTACCGTATCCTCGGTCTCGGGGGGGAGGGAGGTCATCACCTTGAAGCCCTGTATTTGTAGTGGACAAATTTGCAAGGGAACAAGTTCCTTCATCCTACGTTAAGGCCATTTGCCAGCCACTATCCTGAAAACAGCTAACATATTGCCACAAACTCGGCGTTTAGTTGTCTCTTCCTTCACCACCGGTGCTTTAATGCCTTCACTGCGCGGTTAGCGTAACATGAAACATGGTGAATAGTTATCCGCTAAAAAATATCGTATTGTGAATAATCTTATATACGTAAATAAGGGGGTCATCAATAACTATACCTTAATAACATAATTTAGCAATCCATTTATGTACACAGTATTAATTAATACAGAATTCGATTAGTTAGGAGGACACTGTATCTTAGTTGATTGAGGCACTATACTACAAGCCGGAAGGTCGTGTGTTCGATTCCCGATGAGGTAATTGGATTTTTTTTCAATTCACCTAATCCTTCCAGCCGCATTGTGGCACTCAGCCCCTAAGAGAAATGAGTCCCAGGAATCTCCCTGGGGATAAAGGGAGGCCGGGGCGTAAGGCTGACAACCTCACCACCTTCTGTGAGCCGAATGTCACAAAAACGTGGGAGCACCGACGTCTCACAACCCTATGGGCCTTCATGGCCTGTTATAGGGATACCTTTACCTCTTTTACCCTCCATTACGTTAAATTTGTCAGTCATATCCTCAAAGCTTCGAACTGTTCCCATGTTTGAAATTACTGCCAAATAAGTACTATTTCATATAACATTTGTAGATATGTTTATTATTGGTATTGTTACTTACCTTAATATATTCTCGCTTTAATAATAAAATTAGAATTCTTTTGATAAAACATATCTCCTAACTACATTTAATAGCTTTAGGGATGTTTCTACCTCAAAAGCTTGACCGTCGTCAAGTTGATATCAATGAGAGTAAGAAATTAAAAAAATAGAACTGTAAATGTGCGGTTGTATTCAGTGGCCTATCTTTTCTTGTAATAATGAAAATAGACTAAAGCGAGCCCCTTTTCGCGTCCTACTCGAAGCTAAATTAGAACTGCTTTGCTTGCTTCTAGTTGGCGAAGAATGGGCATGATTACCAGAGTAAGAGCAAGGCTGCAGAGCATCAACACTCCGACAAAGCTAGACCCTCGCATTCAGGACGAGAAGACAGCGCAAACAGGTGAGAAAATCACTTTCGCCAAAGTCCAATTTCGTAATTATTCATCTCCATTTGGCACAATGCGCGCTGCGTGGTCGGTATCCACGACCTGTCACCACAGTCCATGTGGTAGCCCTTCAATTCATTAACATAAAATTTCTGAGTGTTTTCTGACAATTACGTGTAGGCTGGTACGCGTCTCGAGAATGACAGGTTCTAATTCGGATGATTGGATTTATTAGCACTTTGGTTACACATTCGCTCTTAATTACACTTAAATACACATTCAAACACGTAATATTGAAACACTCAAGGTCAAAGTCACATTGCGACTGACGGTCAGTCGGTAAGTCTTGATGCCGAGCCCAATTTATTACTTTTTGACAGTTACGGTCTTGTTTTTGTGGGGCGCCCTCTCCGACGAGAAGGCGGGTTTGTCTTTTTTTTTTTATATGCTGCTAGCCCTTGTCCGGGCAGTCTTTCTCGGGTCCGAGTCACTTGGGACTCGCGACCATATTTTACTCTCTCAGATTTGAGACTTCCCGTTTCGTCACCTCCTACGACTCCCAAGATCAAGATCAAGGTGGAGGTATTCTGAAATAGATATTCGTTATATAGGCTCCGCAAAGACAACACAGAAAACAAAGTCACATGATAGCACTGTTGCAGTGTGATGTCATTGCGCCTGCGCGGAAATTTGTTTACTGAGCCATAGCCTAGAAGCGGGTTACGTAAACTCGTAGTTCCATTGTTGCGAGCGTGTATCGCGTGTTTTACTGGTCCGTTACCTAGCAACGCTCTGGTCATCCACGTTACAATATTATGAAGAGCTCTTCTCTATGTAGAACTTGAGGTTCTCACAGCGGGGGCTATGAAGAGTTCTGTCTTCTGGGATGTAATAGAGTGTAGGTTGTTGAAAGTCAGTACCGCCAGCTTTCATATGGTTTCATGCTCAGCTTATTCTTCGACCTTGAAGATAGAGGCGATATGTTCATCCGAAACGTCTGTTGACTTTAAAAAGACTGCAGTCCGTATAGCGGCTTGCTACTGGCTGGACGACCGAGGAGTCGGAGTTCGAGTTACGGTAGGGTCAAGAATTTTCTTTTCTCCACATCATCCAGACCGACTCTATGGCCCATCCAGCCTCCTATCAAATGGGTACGGGGGGGGGGGGCTTTCCCCGGGTTAAGCGGCAATAGCGTGAAGCTGATCACTCATCTTCAACCAGTGTCGAGTTCAAGAAAATGTGGATCTATACATCTACTCCCCCATACGCCTTCATGGCGTTGTGCTTAATTAGTTAAGCACTGGGAAAATTTTACACGATGTTATATCCCAGTCGGGTATAGAAAACTGGAATTAACGGCCGTGGGGATTCGTTGCGCTGACCACGTGACACCCTCTATCCGCTAAAGTTGGCACTGACTATGTAGCGTGGATGATTAGTGAAGGATGAATTGGAAAGGATGTAACAGGAGGCGTTCGTGGCTTAACTTTGGGTACTGCCCCACGTAGGCCTGCATGAACTGAGTAAAATTGCAAAGAAGCTCAGTTAGGACAGTTACGAGACACAGCCGGGCGCCTACGGAATCCTGAGTAACGCCTGTAAGATGACTAGCTTTTAAGTAATCAGACAACAGATCTACATTTACAATAAATGAACAACAAGACCGGTGAGACGCCTGGCACAGAAATTCGTAAAGAACGCATTTGGAAACTACGTACATTATATGCTACACTTTTGCCTTTGGCTGCGTACTCCTGTTTCAAAGTGCGCTTGTCTGGAACTAGCTGCGCTGTTTGTTTTCTTTAGCAACAAGGAGGCGCTGTCTATAATTAATGTTTTCATATTTCGAGTAGATGTCTGGTGCGCGGCGCAGATGGCCGCCCTCAATGACCGCGCCACGAGCAGATCCTTGCTCTTTCCTGCGTTGTACGTCCGAATGACGTAGAGGAGCGCGCCGCTAAAATTATACCGCACGCACGCCACGGGGTCGCTCACTTGCCATCCGCTGCATCCGTTGGCCTAAGCCTGCCTGTTGGTACTGATGAAATGGAAACGTGGCATGAACAGTTGTCGTAATTACTTTTACGTGGAACTGTAACGACACGTGCGTTTCGTCATCTCTCTGACACTGTCGTTGTGGCGGTAGAAATATATTCTTGTATTATAAAGGTACCAAATTTGAATCCCGGTTGGTTTATCGACTACCTTCGCTGAGGTTTTTCGTAATTTTCCTCAGTCTCCTAGTTAATACCGTGATAGTACTCCAAATGACCCATGAGTGCCTCTTCTAAAACCTTAGAAACTCACCCTTTAATTCGACTGCATGCTCTCTGAAGTTGATATAGCGAAGTTAAATAACGTTCGGACATATACGTATAAATAATTCACAGCAGCACTTCTTGTAACGACAGACCCTACTTAAGTAACCCAAGAGAAGTTTTTGTTTATATCTGCATGTTATCGCGACGGTCTGCACCACAAGACACAACCGATGGAAAGCCAATATTTCGCTTACTGCAAGCGGCAACATAGTTGGTTGAGGCACTATGCTACAAGCCGGAAGATCTAGGGATTGAATTCCGAATAGTTCATTGGATTTTTATCAATTTATCTAATCCTTCCAGCCGCACTATGGCCCTGGGGTCGACTCAGCCTCTTAACAGAAATGAGTACCAGGAATATTCTTGGGGGTAAAGGGCGGCCGGCGCGTCAGGCTGACAACCTTACCGCAATCTGTGAGCCGATTGTCTGGAAATAGTGGGAACCTCAACATCTCACAACCCTATGGGCCTCCAATGCCTGTTAGTGGGATACCTTTACTTTTTTAACTTTTTTTTAGGTATAATTATTAGAATAATATTAACCACGTTCTTTATGTCTCATTAAACTGTGTGCAGTCGTTTATATCTAACGCAGTTTTCTGTTACAATTTGTCACGATGTTGCTGAGGAAAATATGTGGAAGTACGAAGGAAGAAGTAACAGGAGGCTGCTTCACAATTAGTACAATTATTCGCCATGTGTTAATACAGCCTAAAATAAAGGAGAAGTAATGAGCGGAGCATGAAGCACGCATAGGAGAGAAGGCAGAAAGCCTGAAGGGGACAGAAACTTGAAAGAATTGGGCGAAGCAGGTACTAGGTGAAGGTGACAGACTATGATGGTCATTACTAAGGAAAACATTTCAGTAATTAATTATTTAATCTTTCCTAGATCCAAGTGCCGATCACAGTGGCCGCGGTGTCTAAGGCGTGAACTGTCTTTGCTAGCTCGAATGCTGGCAACGTGGGTTCGAATCCCGTTCGAAGCATGGATGTATGTGTGCGATTATTCTGTGTTTGTGTTGTTCTATGTGTAGGTAGCGGCCTTGCGACGGGATGATCCCCCGTCCAAGGAGTCTTTCTGACTGTGTATCGGATTAAGAAAATGAGAAAGCTACCAAGGTCCAACAAAGGACTCTAGAGCCATAGACAGACAGATAGCTCCAAGTATTTTTCTTGTCGTCTTATTTTCAGACATCCTCGATCCCCCAACTCCATCGAATTGAAAGACCTAGCTTCATATCCGCGTAAAATAGTAGTTACTGCAATTTATAAAGTAAACTGGAACGTGAGATCTACTGAAGCGAGAAGAAATTATTGTTTCCAGCTACAGTCCGAGAAATATCTATACTTCTACAAAGAAGAGAAGTCTTAAGCTCGAATTGTAAACGCTGGTGTACCATGCAATTCCACACTAAAGAACCAACGCAACAAGCATCTCAGAACTGTATTGCAGTTGTTCGCGTTTTGGGTACATTTTATTTCAAAGAAACTTTTTTCAGTAATCACTACACGAGACACAAGGACAATCACTATCCTGTAAAGGCCAATAAGACTGCTCAACACAATACTGGTCGCGGTAAGTAATGAGAAATCTTCCGATTACTATCCCGAGGACTGGGTCCCATCTCATTTTCGAAATATAAAACTGTCTTCCTACAGCCGAGTTTCCGTTTTATAATAATGGTGTACTAGACAGCGACAAGATTAAATTGTTTACAGATCTGTACTGAATTTAAAATTCTCTACAATACTGACTGCGAAAATAAATTTTATACAAAGAGTTTGTTTATGTTTGGAAGACATCCAGACGGATATAGCAGTTAAAAGAACTTAAGGAAGGTGAATGAACCAGAAAATAAGATGTCAGAGAGGGCTACGTCCCAAATTCAGGACATCAGTTGCGGTTTTGTGCCATCAATAGAAAGGTTTTGTTACGAGCGATCTCAGAGAACTTAAACACACATGCCTTAACTCAAGAAGAAGACCAGATCTGTTCCCAAAATGTACGTAGGAAACAATGCATGTATGCTTGTAGGATAGTAATTATTTGTACCTTCCTAAAACATGAAAAAAAAAACAGAAAGTCCAACGTTTTATTACATTTCTTTTCCAATTTTAACGTCCCCTAGGGCAATGTTCTCAAATCTTCCATACCCCAGATAAATACAGTGAACCCTCGCTAGTTCGGTTACAGTTAATCCGGATCGGAATATGATTAATAAAAAATGCTGTTCACAGTTGAGTGCATACCTTAAAACACAAATGGCACTTAGGAAGGCAGATGAGTCACCTGTCTGTTCAGATAAAATATTGACAGTTTCTTCAAACCTGCATTATACGTTCAAAAACATGTATAACTACTGAGACTTCCATCGATGAATAATTGCGTTTTCCTTTTATAATTTTTAAATAAACGCTCTATTGTTATATTTTTTTTTATTTATTTTCATCACCATTGCTTATATCAACAGCTTTTCCATTTATTTGTGTTCCGAGTTCTTCTTTCGTTGTTTATGGTTACATTTTTTCACTTATCCGGATTATCTCTTAACCCGGATGACCTCCGCCCCAGTTACGCCGGATTAGAGAGGGTTTACTGTATTACGAAAGATAATGGATCCCACTGCGCAAGAAAATTCGGAAAGAATTGCACTGAAAATAATAATGACCAAAGATAATATTTTGGCCGATCGTGCCTGTGTGGTATTTGCACGAAGGATCACCGGAACCAGTCACGTGATTTCCGCTCAAACATGAATTTGTACCCACGTTTTCTTTGTTACCCTTGACATGGGCTAATCTCACAAATCAAATTATTCTACGAAATATTAAATACTCGTAGACTTAGTAAAATTGTAGGCTTAACGTCTACATAGTTAATTAAAACTGTAGAAGAGAATGTAGTAACAATATATATATCACAGTAAGACCTCAGTAAATCGGACTAATTGGGAGCGAACCCTTGTCCAAATTAGTGAAAGTTCGAATTATAGAAATATGTTCAGGGAACTTATAAAATGTGTCTTTTTAGGCAATACAAATTTATTTTGAAACTTAGATTGCATATCATAAAGTATATTACTTAACGTTACTCAGAATTACTTAGCATTATTGAAGCCGTGTATAAAAAATAAAATTTATTTTGTTTTGTGTTTCTTTTTTTGTGCTGTTATCTTACTACATCTTGCCTCATTTCCTTTAGCAATAGGTAACATTTGTTGTATTGTGGGTCAGAATCCAGAAAACTGACGACGGAGCCCAAATTTTGTTTCACTTCCTAAAATTCTAACTTTGCACATGTTTCTTCTTCCTTGTCTGTTAGCCTGAACCGTCCTCTTCGGCTTGTTGTGCAATTTCTTCTTCGACGAGATTTCGGTATTCGAAGTCTTTCCCATCATCTTTAATCCAGCCGCAAACATCGCTCGGGTCAGCTCAAAATAAGGGGGAGGGGGGACGGCAGCGACATGTCACGAATCACTAAGTGAAGTCCAAACTAGTGAAGTTTCAATATATATTCGAAATATTATATACAATAGTGCGAAGAAAGCTAGACGAGCTTATTAGCAATTAATTGGGGCACAAGAATTTGAGTGATCAGTCCTCATTAAGTCTTATTTAAAACTACGCCTTTGGCTCTTCGAGTAAGATGCAGCATGTGGGAACTGACATTATAACTATAATTAACGACTGTAACTCAACTGAAGGTTAAGGCAGAAATCCCTTTTGTGTAAACATTTCACTGTGAAGGCGCACAGGCGGCATGAAAATGAGGCTTCACAATCCGGCCGTTCTATCATCGGAGAAGCACGCATTGGCAACTATTGCAAAGGAAGATGACTGGGTCCTAGAAGCAGTTCCTACCCCTATCGAGAAGTGAACCCCGTTCCTTCAGCCCATAGATATCCCTGTGACAGGCCATGGAGGGTCGTGTGGTTGTGAGCCGTTAAGGGTCCCACATTATCTAGACCAAGGGTCTCCAAACTACGGCCCGCGATGTGATTTTATCCGGCCCGAGAAAGAATTGTGCAGAAATGCGCCAATTGAACTCATTTTCCAGTGAGTACTGGTAAAGAAAATACTTGTTCATAGACATCAAATTCATTAATTAAGATTGTGTTTAAAATATATTGATATTTCATATTATGTTAATATTAATATTATTCACAATTTTAGATTTGAAAGAAAAATTTCGGAAGCGATTTATTGATTTGGATGCCAGTGATCAGGAAATTAGATTGTTTCAAAATCCGTTTGACTGTGATGCTGCAGATGTCCCAAGTCAAATTCAAATGGAAATTATCGAACTTCAGGAAAATTATCATATTAAAGAGAAATACTAGGAAGGAAATTTGATCGCATTTTATAAATTTCTGAACTCTGAGCAATTTCCAAATTTAAAGAAATTTGCTTGCAAATTTATCTCCATTTTTGCGGCGACATATCTGTGTGAACAAAATTTTTCCCAGATGAAGTACATCAAGTCGAAATACAGGGCAAATTTATCCGATGAACATTTAAAGTCGCTATTTGTGATTAGCGTTTCAAAATTTGAACCTCAATGTAATCAGATTTTAAGAATGCAAAAAGAGTTCCATCATTCACATTAATTGTTTTATTATGATTTGTGATGAAAATATGAGCATTTGCTGCTACTCTCTGTTGTCATTAATATATGATAATTTATTTTCACGTACTTTGTATTTAGTTCATGAAATTCTGTGCTTTCAATAAAACTCATATTACCTAGAGTTATTAATTTCTCATTTTATCCGGCCCGTTGAAAGTACTGAATTACCTAATGTGGCCCGCGTTTCGAAAAGTTTGGAGACCCCTGATCTAGACAATCGACTTACAGATGGGGTAAAGTCAGCCTTACGCGTCGGCCACCCTTTACCCCCAGGAAGATTCCAGGTACTCATTTGTGTTAGAGGCTGAGTCGAACCCAGGGCCATAGTGCGGCTGGAAGGATTAAGTAAATTGAAAAAAGTCCACCTCATAGGAACTCGAACCCGCGATTTTGCGGCTTGTAGCATATTGCCTCAACCAACTACGTTATCGCGAGACCCCTTTCAGCCCATACCCAGTCACTATACTGACTGAGATTGGATGCCGACGATACTGAAAGAATATTACATTTACACATACATAACGAAGCAATTTCAAAGTAATTATTCTCGCGTTTTCATGCCGATACTTTTATAATAAAATATTATATTACTCAGAAGTGTTCTTACCCCTTGGGACCCATACTGAATGTATTGAGAACACTGAAGAAACTACGTATTTGTATTGATCAGGGAGGTATATATTAGAAGTAAGATTTGAGGCTTTCACGGCGGTGACTATGAAGAAAGCAGTCTTCTGGGATTTGGCACCGTATATATGTGGTGTTAACCGACGTTTCGGAGGAACGTATCGCCTCCATATTCAGGGTAGAAGAAAAAGAATAAGAAATCTGCAAGCGAAGACAGTGTCTGCTTTTACCGGTTCTCACGGTCTCTTCGCTTGCAGATTTATTTTTTTCTCCTACCCTGAAGATGGAGGCGATACGTTCCTCCGAAACGTCGGTTAACACCACATATACATGGTGCCAAATCCCAGAAGACTGCTTTCTTCTATATACTAGAAGTCTACGGGGTTTGTTCCAGCACTCTGTCCTGGGTGTTGATACAAGTCAAATATTGATCGCAGTTCTAACTGGATGTCATTTAAAAGTGAATAAGAGGCTCAGACCAATGGACAATCCATCAATTACTCTGTCTCTTAAAGACTGACATATGCTGCAAATTATACCATGTTAAAGTCCACCTGCATTTACCAGATAATCGCCAATTTCTCCCGGAGTTTCATGAGCTACATTTCATTTGAAATGTCATAACGGTTAGATGTATATATACGGAATATTTTTAGAAGAATTTCCTTTTGAATAAAATTAAATAAAACAAAAAAATTATAAAGCTGAACCGTTCTAAAATTGACAATTTCTCCCAAACCTTCGAACAAATTAAAATAATTTAGACTTCACTTAAAACTATGCACATTTATTGAAGCAGAGAGTCACAGTTCGACTATCGACAGGGTTACCAATTGTCTTGATGGTAGTATTTTGTGTCTTTCGTTCGCGAAACTGTAACTTTGTCACGATCGCCTCATTCCAAATCCATGCTTATTCATCATTCATGATCAGCTTACAATTTTATCCAATGACATCTACATTATATCTACAGTTGGCAGCATCATTACTCCATGGCCTGTAGTCCACAAGCGAACTATACCGACCGAGCGAATGCCGCTTCTCGGCGAAGTTAGTGCCAACTTTTGCGGATAGAGGGTGTCGCATCATCATTACATAACTCAAAAATTACTCAAGTTTAATCACACCATTTACAGACTTCGCTTGTTTATTGTTGAATAATAAGGGTTAAGGAAGCCGATACAGCTATTCTCTGTTATCTAATTTTTTTTTAGTTTCTTGGGGTGGGGTGAGACTGCGTCCACTTGGTACTTCGGCCACTAATTGGCCTACTGTACCAGCCCCGGATGATAGATGATGATGATTGTGGAGCAGTCGGTGGAATGAGAATTGGCAGGGGAACCGAAGTACTGGGAGAAAACCTGCCCTAGTGACAATTTGTCCACCAGAAATCCCATATGGCTTGTCCCGGGTTCGAACCCGGGCCGCCGCGGTGGGAAACAGGCGACTATCCGCCTGAGCTATGACGCGGCCTCTAAGAAAGGTACACATGGAAGCCTTTGAAATCGGAGATGTATGTAATATCTTAATGAATAACGAATGTTTTCTAGTAATATGATTACGTAATGTGCTGAAACAGGACATATGTACTGTGTTTTGCAGTATGCCTCCTTTCAGTGGTGCTACTCTTGCCCTACTTCGCACGGGGACATGCCTCGGTGCTGGTCAGCAGCGTGGGGATCGCGTATTCCTGCCTTGTACTGCCCATGGTCATTTCTGCCAACTACAAGTATTCCGTAAATGGACTACGACCAATGGTTCTTAATATCAAAGGTAAGAATTATTTTCAGTTCTCAATTTCCTAGAACTGTAATGGCGAAATATTAACAAACGTACTGCACGTGACACACTAGATCACCCTAAATGTCACCTAACTGAGCGGTAAAAACTGTTAAAGGGATTTATTCTCGAAGATACTGACAAACAATTATGTTGTAACATTATTAAATATTAACTATTAATTTGTATTGTATTTTAAACCAGAAGAAGTTCCCTTTCTCGACCGGGGTATGTTTTCATTCCTTGTTAATATTACAGTATGTAGTAGGTCTCTGTGGTCTAGTGGTCAGATTTCCTGGCTACAGATCCTGAGGTCCCGGGTTAGATTCCTGGCGCTACCAGATTTCCTGAGAAGTAGTGGGTCTGGAACGGGGTCCACTCAGCCTCATGAGGATAACTGAGGAGCTACTTCAAGGAAATAGCGGCTCCGGTCTAGAAAACCGAAATTAATGGCCGTAGGGATTCATTGCGCTGACCACGCGACACCCTCTATCCGCTGAAGTTGGAAATAACTTCGCCGACAAGCGGCGGTCGCTTGGTTGGTATAGTTCGCTTACGGAGTAAAACCACGGCATTTGTTTTGTTTTGTTTTTGTAGTAATTACAGATTTAAAGAAGGGAAACATTCAAATTAAGAACTTAAAATACACACATTTAATTTAAAAGAATATGAAACAACGATTCGAATCCTATCCGAGAACAACACTGCATTATTCGAACAACAACTTCGGCTTCGATAAATACTGGAAAATGTATGAAATAAACGACATGATGTCTTTCGAAGTTCTCTGTTATGTCCGCAGTAGTTAAAGCAACCATAAAATCGAGACCCATAAGACCTAAATGTTTGTATAGCTCTCGGCCAATTGAAACATAAACCTCTCTGTCAGTGTTTCAGCTTCATTATTCCTGTCCCATATAATCCAACACGTAGTTACAATGTTGCATTATAAGGAAACAAAAATGTTAAATTAAAATTCCGTATTTGTAATGTATTTATATCCCCACTCCCGTGGCATGGTCCTTATTTACTCACACAGACGTTACTCTTACTTCTAATTTGTAATTCAAGAACTTCAATCATACATAGAGATCAGTTAGCTAGGGACGAGGTAGCGTACTTGGTTGAGGCACTATGCTACAAGCCGGAAGGTCGCGGGTTGAATTCCCGATGTGGTCATTGGATTTTTCAATTTACATAATCCTTCCAGCCATACTATGGCCCTAGGTTTGACTCAGCCTCTAATAGAAATGAGTACCATGAATCTTCCTGGCGGTAAAGGGCGGCCGGCGCGAAAGGCTGTCAGCCTCACCGCCATCTCTGAGTCAACTGTCTGGAAAATATGGGAACCTCGACCTCTCACAACCCCATGAGCCTCCAAGGCCTCTCATGAGGAGAGTGGTTGGAAGTGTACAAAACCCGAGGAGAACTGAAGAACCGTGCCTTCTGACGGGCTTTCATTGCGAAGAGGGAAGGAAATAGTAGCATTCCGATTCTGTTTTGTTATTTAAATACAACCTAACGGCATTGACTGCCGGTCACGGTAGCCGAGCTGTCTGAGGCATGCACTGTCTTCGCTCGCTCGGAAGCCGGGATCGTGGGTTCGAATCCCACTCAGGGCATGGATGTTTGCGTGCGTTTTTCTGTGTTTGTCTACAGGTAGAGGCCTTGCGACGAACTGATCACTCGCCCAAAGGAGTCCTACCGAATGAGTAAGATCTAGTAAACCGAAGTGAAACGGAGAGTTTCATGGAGGTAGGTCTAGGACCAAATTGGGGCTGTAGCGCCACAGAAAAAAAAATGGCATTGACTGGAAGACGATATACGTGTGTAATACTAGGCTTATAACCGAAGAAATATTGAAGTAGTGAAACACAAGCGGAGGCAAATGTCTTGCAGCGGGCGTAACTGATTTCATCATAATGATGCTGACATAGCCAATCGAATAGGCAACCCCCAAACATACCTGTAGATGGGTGACGAGATGCAAGTCGGTAGTCGTTGAAAATGGCTCTGAATGGGGTCCAGGACGAACTACGGACCCATGAAATAACTCCAGGATTTATATATACTTCCGACCAGGGCGAATAAGCAGGGTGAAGGGGTGATAATCAAGGAGATGCGACAGTGATAGAGAGATAATTAAAGTGACATCACATTTGGAACACGATGTGGCACGACATGTCCAGTCTTTCCAGAAGCTGTCTGACAGCATTGCACAGGACAGCGCACTCTTCCTGTCCTGACCAGTGTATCAGTGGAGACAATGATGAATGCGACTTCGATGGTGTCATATCTGGTTGTTGGGTGCGTCCTGTCTTCATTTCTCAAGATCAAACAACTCTGGAGACAATATCAGAGTTTTCACAATATTGTCACCTATCAGGGGTTGCGTGACGAATAATAACGGGTTCTGGGTTTGATGATTGGGTTTATTGATAATTACAGTTGATTATAACGGCTCAAGCATTGAACTCCTTCTGAACGACGTCTGTCTTACGAATCCCTCCGAAGAATCTCTCACTGCTCTCTGAATCCTGGACTGATCTGTACTACTCAGTAATGTACTGTTCCAGCTTGTTGTTCCGGAAACGCGTTGTAACAAGCCGTTGTCTAGCAATGGATTAATCTGTCACACTATCTTATTAACTGCAGAACAAGCAATGTGCGTTGAAGGAATTCGAAATACGAGCAATATATAAAAACTCTGAAGAACGAAATGATCGGACCAAGACCTACAAGGTCTGCAAAATCTAAAGAAAACAAAAGTTAAGAACATGTTAGTTGAAAATCACTTTCTTATACAAGACACGGAAAGTCCTATGCCACGGTTTTTATTTTCATGGTACTGCCCTCACCAGAACTATAGGATGTGTGATTCCAGCTGCCTATCTATTTAAGGTGTACTAGACTGAATGAGCTTTGCGGTAAGCGTTTCTGATTATTACTGAGAACAGCATAAATGTTGCGATCTTGTCATCACGGCCCTTCGTTCGTCTCTTTGCCATAATTAGCTCCATAGGCTAGTCTCTCATGTAGAAATAAAATAATGAATCTTGGGACAAGATTCTTAGGAATAAACGAACTCGGAAATCCGTGTGGGTGTGTGTGTGTTTGGATGGGGGGGATCTCAAAAAAATTAACGGACCTTTAAACTAAACATGACCATGTCTGGTGCAGAAAGGCTGTCAGTACCAAAAATGTAAGTTAAACTGACAGAAGTTTTAAGTGACTTGAATTGTATTTTAATTGTTTGATAGACTGAGAGTCGCGGATAAACAGTTCCTTAAAGATGATTATGAACTAACCAATTAACAAATCTGATTTGCCCTATTTTTCTGGGAAGATCCTTTTGGCTTCATCATCTTTCAAGAGATTATATCCTTATGTGAATAAAAATCACAACAGATATACACGGTGCCAAATCCAAGAAGACTGCTTTCTTCATAGTCACCGCCGTGAAAACCTCAAATCTTACATAATAACGGATGATTGCATTATTACTGTTATTAGGGTTCAATTATTCTCTGGATGGGAGGGGGGGGGAACAAAATATCGAATAAGTATAAGACAATGCCTGCACCAAAGATGCGTAACACGCAACAAAAAAAAAGTGGTAAAGTCAAGTAGCATCGGTTTGTCAGTTATTTATGTTGCTTTTGTATGCATTCAATGTAGATTTTCTCGTCTCAGACGAGTGTTTTGTTGCATGTAGCGCCTTATGTCGTATTGAATGTTATGCATCTCTGGTGTAAGAGGACACAAGAAGTTCTACCAACTTTTTTCTTTAATTCGCTTAGTCGGGGGTGGAGTCCAGTTGGGTTCACTCGGCACGGCGGCGACTGATTGGCCTATTGTAACTGCCCCGGGTGATTATGATGATGGAGAATTTGGTGGAATGAAGATTGACAGGGGAAACCGAAGCACTCGGAGAAAACCTACCCCAACGCCACTTTGTCCACCACAAATCCCACTTAACCAGACCCGGGTTTGAACCCGGGCCGCCGCGGTGGGAAGCCAGCGACTAACCGCTTGAGCTATGGTGCGGCCTTTCTATCAACCTTACACTACCTCATTCCCACTTATCCCAATAAATTCTTCAAAAAGGTTGGCACAACTTCGAATAGAAGAAGAGATTGCAGAGACTCATGGAAATTCAGAAAAACACTATGCTTTTAAAACAGAAAAGAATTGGGTCTTGAGTTAGTTTCTTTGTTATCTGACACCTTTTATTCGACGTCAAGATCACACGGTAGGGTCTAAAAACATCGAAAGGAAAATAAATTCTATTAGGCCTACTCCACATGTGCTGTTGTTTTATCTGTCTCAGAACTGACGAAGAGAGGCGATGCACAAGTGCAGCGCAAAAGATGACGTAATGAATTGCGTTTACTTCGTGCTCCAGTCAATCGCTGTATTTATGACTAGTCCCGATAATAAAAGGTGAATATCTTAGACGCATTCTTAACGTAACCGGACACTAGGCGACTAAAACATCTGTCTTTCCATTCGCTTATACAAAATTTTACTCCATTTTGCTCAATTCAATTCAGGCCCTTTGCGTTACCACGTCCTCTAAAATATGACTGCGTACCTATTCTGAGATGTCTTTAACCCCTCTAGGGATCAAGATTCAATTTCACTGAAAACACACCGCCAAGAAACTTCGAATAAATACAAAATTTTTCATTAGAATACAGAGATGTTACGTTATTAATATTTGTAAGGAATCATATACCAGCTGCATGTTCTTCGTTGGTTGCTTAGCGACAAGACATCAACCTCAAATGCAACTTAGCGTTGAATGATGTGAACGGACGTAGCAGTGCTTAAGTAGAAGTTCTCGTGGTTTACTGTAAGGCACCACACCGAATCTACCAACATTCTGAGAGGAATCAAGAAAGCACTGGCCAGGACAGCCCGCATTCCAAACGGATATTTCAGTGTACGTCAGAGCCTTAACGAATACATTCCAGGAATAAACTTGATGGTACTTTAAACACACTTAATGGTAAATAGTTTGTACATGCTTAAACACAATAAAACCATAGGACAATTTTATACCTTTTCATCCGCCATGGGCCTGGCCTGATCCAACAGAGAATTAATCTAGAAGAAAGAAATCATTCAGAAATCTGATAGCAACGGACCTATTACAAGGCGTCTAAGACAACATAACACAGAAAAGGGCTAAAATGCATCAATTCTTTCTGTTGGATTCAAACATGCGATAAGGGTTCGAGCAGCCTAATAGCGCATGCGCCTCAGATCGCACAGCTGCTGGGCTCGGCATAGTCCTAGTAATCTTTAATTAGTCATCAATTATTGAAACGAGTAATCCAATTATTTGTAAATGAAGGTGACGAAATGCATTAACAATCAGTAAAAAAAAATGGTTATAGGTCTACACAGAACAGCATAATTTATTACGACACGGCCGTTACTATGGGTGAGGAGGCTGTGAGGACCGCGGGAACCTGCCACGACGTTATAAGGCCTACACTGCAAAGACTTTAATGTGAAAGTTGTGAAAATTGAGCCGACCTCCAAATTCGATATGACAACAACTGAATGGAGTCCCCCAAAAAACTGCTCGCTAATTACAGCGGCAGTTACTTCATACACACACACACACACACAACTCCTTCTGCTGCTCTAAAGACTTCCATGTCAGAATATGATAAATGGCAGAGCAGCAAAACAAAACAGCACTGAAATAAATCTGTATTCATTTCCGAAGGTCTGTGTCATTAAAGTCTCTTAATCTCGAAGACATTTTGGCAGTTAACCGTACCGTCCCGCCTGCTCGCGTTGTCAGGCAGCAGGCAGGGCCATGTCTGCTCCCGGACAAAGGAACATTAGTACATGTTTGACTCTCTAGCGCATCTGTTAACTTTGGAAATTTTATGTGTTTATAATGCGGAAAAATTCACCTAAAACACTGCTGAGGATATTAAGTACGGCATTAAATAATTAACTTGCTGGTATAGAATAACAAAAAGCGAAAATATGTAAACTCCTTCATTCAAACTTATCTTGAGCAGCTCGCATCCATTCCACCTCATCATAAAATCTCTGAGGTACATTACTTCCTATCATGTAGTAGTAATTAATTTATTAAAGTGCTCGACAACAACTATAAAACCAGTAATTCAGTTCAACGGCTTATTTATTTTCGTGTTTACTTAACAGCCCAAAGGCAAATTGCATAGTAATCAACACAAGAATAAAGAAACAAGAGAGAAAACAAGGCAATTTGTGCTATTTAGAAAATAAGAACAATTAAATTAATGCAATAACGCCAACCATTATGATATGGCATCATAATAATTCAATTTAATTCTGTTGTTTATTATTTATGTGCCGAGTAAGCAGCTATAAAGGAAATTTCAGAAAAATCGCAATGTACTGGTAGATGTTATTTATTACACTGCAGCTAATAAATGTATAAAGACAGCAGAGACAAGGCCAGTTTAAGAAACGGCAGAGTGGAAAAACTACTATTCCTACCTTACATAACAAAGGAGAGCATAAGGGCAACAAGAACAAGATAAACAATAAAATACACAATCAGGCGCTTCTAAAGAAACAATAAAAATGATTAATAACAATGACAAATGCATATGCAAGAGACATATTATGAATAGAAATGTGTGTAATAAACACTAAAGTACTTTGAAAAGATTAATAAATAAAATATGATTCAGAGAAACTCCTTTGATTTCAAATATATCGAAGGCCTTACCCGCCACGATAGCAGAATAGGTGCACCAAGCAGGACAATATTTAAATGATGGACAAAGAATGAACATTTGAAAAGTCTCTAATATAACGAGCAGAGAAACGAAGATTAGCATTTTCTAAAAGGCGGCGCCATAGCTCAAGCGGTTAGTCCCTGGCTTCCCATCTGAAGGAAAGTTGCCGCGGGATGATATCCCTATTTACTCAGAGAATGTAAAACTAAACTCTCTAATGCATAAGTGTAACTGCAAAGTATATGAAGGAAAACACTAAAGAAGCAGACGGAACCAGAAAAGAAAATGAATAATGATAACAACAAATGTCATTAAATTGCTTATCAGGTATTATTATTATTATCATCATCATCATCATTACC